TCCCCTCCCCTCCCCTCCCTCCTACCTCTCTTGCTTTTTCTTTCTGAGACAGAGTTTTGCTCTGTAGTTCTGATTAGCCTGGAGCTCACTTTGCAGCTCAGGCTGGCCTTGAACTCACAGCAGCCCTCCTGCCTCAGCCTCTGTAGCATTGCCTTTTACTCCTGGGTATTTGTGACACACAAATCAAATCACTGGCTTCTATTCCATCCCCAATTCCCAGGGCAGTTATAGGCTACTTTTATGGTTATGTTTTGCTATGTTTTTTGTTTTCTTGCTGTAGTTGATATACAGCAGGGGCTTCATGAGTGCTAGGCAAATTCACTACCACTGAGCACATCTTCAGCCATACCCTTTGAGACAGGGTTTTGCTGAGTTGCTCAGGCTGGCCTCAAAACTTGGAATCTTCCTGCCTTAGCCTTCTGAAGAGCTGGGATTACAGGCATGTGCTGTTATATACTTATACACTTACATACTTATTCTTTATTTTTTTGGTGAAACAGGGTCTTGCTATATACTTATATACTTATACAGTTAGAGAAAACAATAATTTTGGGGTTTTGCTAAGAACTATCCATTAGTCCCTTTATTTTATTTTTTATTTTATTTTATTTTTTTTTTCTTTTTGAGAACAGGGCTCACCATGCCATTCAGGTTGACCTTGAGCTCACTTTGTAGCCCAGGCTGGTCTCAAACTTGCAATGATCCTCCTGCCTCAGCCTCCCAAGTGCTGGGATTACAGGTGTGTGTCACCATGCCTGGCTCTAAAATTTTACATTTTAAAATTTTTTAAAAATAAAAATTTTACAATGTAATATTACTGAGAAGCTAGGAAGAATATCAGACTTTTAGCTTGAGAATTTCCTGAGAGGGGCTGAGGACAACGGATTATCCTTGGGTCTGAATGTTGGCCCTGTTATCTTAATCTGGTATCCCATACTTACTCAGTTGAAGATTAGCATAATCATCACCAATTGTACCTGTAACCAAGTGTTAATATTCTATATCACCCATCCCCACTTCTGATTATACAGTGAAAATATCTAAGTAGAGTGTGTGTGTATGTGTGTGTGTGACATTGGGGCTATAAGCCAGGACCTCCAGCATGCTAGGCAAGCACTGTACCACTGAGCTATATCCCCAGCTTCTAGAAAACTTTTTAATAATATCAATGGCTAGCCAGGCATTGTAGAGCACATCTATAATCCCAGCATTCTGGAAGGCTGAGTCAGGAGGGTATCAAGTTCAAGCCCAGCCTGGGCTACATAGCAAGACCCTGTCTCAAAATAAACAAACATACAAAAAATAGCTGGAAAAGTAGCTCAGTACAAAAGCTCTGGGTTTACTCCTCAGGAATGTAAATTCAATTAGCTAGGATATTAGAAGTCTCACAGAATATTTTAACTAGGGTTGAGTACCACTGCTCTCAATTTTTACGTGAAAAAACAATATATGATGATAGGCAGTCATAACTATTTGTTAATTAAAAATTAATATGTACAACTCTGAATATACTAAAACCATTGAGTTGTACACTTGAAATGGGTGGTTTAGTTGTGTATGTGAGCTATACTTCAGTAAAACCATTATTTTAATAATAAGTATAATAATTGAAACTTTAAAGGTGACCTTTATTTATTTTTGGTACTGGGAATTGAACTCAGGACCTTGCACTTGGCAGGCAGGTGCTGTGCTGCTGAGCTATATCACAGGCTAAAGGTGAACTTTAAAAGCTGCATGGTAAGTTCAAGGCCAGACTGAATGACATAGCGAGACCCTGTCTCAAAAAACCAAAGAATAAATTTAAAACAATGAAATGAGGATTATTCATGATTTAGGAAGCTGTTCGTTGAAGAACTTTATTTAAAAAATATTGGTCTTGGGGGCTGGAGATGTAGCTCAGTGGTAGAGCGTATGCCTTTGCCTGTGTGAGGCCCTGGATTCAACCCCTGGTACTGCCAAGAATGATCGGCCTTAGGTAAGTGATTCCTGGTTTTATGTGGTTTGTCCACACATAGGCCTTGCCCCTGTGCCATCTCTCACTCATTCCTGATCACCTTGTTCAGCGTTGCAGGTGGTTGATGAAGTAGGTTTTAGCAAAGAGATGATTTTCGGAGACAAGATGCTGACATCAGCTATGAAACCCTGAAAGTTTACTTTAAACTAATTCTGGCACAGTGTGCATTTATAATTCTTTTATTTAAAATCATGGTACATGCCTGTAATCCCAGCAGTCAGGAGGCTGAGGCAGGAGGATCCTTGCAAGTTCAAGACCAGCCTGGGCTACAAAGTGAGCTCCAGGCCACCTGACCCTGCCTCAAAAAGACAAAAAATAAATAAAATAAATAAATAAATAAAATAAAATGAAATCAAGCAGAATAGCACCTCTGTTAAGCCTTTTCCTATCCCCTGTCCTCTGTCCTTCCACAGCATTTCCTGTATCTCTTTTCCTTTCTTCTGCTCTGCCCCTGTTTCCTTGCTTTCCTCTCTGGCATGTCTGAACAGGTCATCTTTTATTCTGTTCTGTCTCCTAGGACCCAACACAGTATCTGGCACATAACAAGGGCCCAAAGCAATTTCTTTTTTCCTCAAGTATACATTGGGGCACCACAGATATAGCTCAGCGGCCTGGCACCTGCCTGGGAAGTGTGAGGAGCTGAGTTCAGTTCTAGTACCCTGAAAAAAATCAAGTTTGAAGAAATATGAATAAGTGAATTATTAAATGTGCAAATAATGAGCTAAGACATGATTCACAATTCCACTAGGCAGTTTGTCTTGAGGTCTATTTTCTGATTATTCTGGGGCCACACTAATGAAGTTGCTTCCCATGTCTTCAGCTCTGCCTCCTGATATCGTTTCCCTTTGTACTCAACAAAAGGAGCCAAAGCACTCACTAGTGGACAGTTTGTTCTATTTATTTCTCTTCCTTGAGTATCTCAAAAACAGTAGGTATTTTCTCCTTTCAAACTCTAATATCTGATGTCTTATCATAGTCCTTGAATGCTGCTATTATGTCTTTTATGTTCTGGTAACCTTATTAATTAAAATAAACACATTACATTTTTTACTGAGTTACCTGTATATTGAGGTAGATGGTAGATGTATAACCATCCAAAACAGTTTTGGTTCAATCAATACATGAGGATGGTTGTAATAAACCTCCTGCAACAGCACAGGAAGACTTAAGACCCTCAGCGAGTGAGAGAGAGGTGTCAGGCACTGAATCACTGTAGATTAAAATGTTTGATGTACAAGTTAGTAATAAACTGTTTAATATTACTAAGCATCATGTTTTTCCCTTTGGTACTGGGGATTGAACCCAGGGCTTTGCACTGACCTCCACCCCCATCCCTTTTATTTTGAAACAAGGTCTCATTAGGTTGCTAAGTTGCCCAGGCTGGGCCTAAACTTGAGATCCTTCTGCCTCAGCCTGTCAGAGTGCTGGGATTACAGACATGTGCCGCCATGCCTGGCTTATGCATGAAATTTTTGTGATCAGGTCATTCTCTTTATTCAGAAGGACCTGGTATCAATTATAAATTTTAAGTTACAGCGATACATCTGTACTCCTCGTTACTTGCTTCTCGGAGGCGTGACCAGTACCAAATTCTTCTGGCTGGAGAGCATAGCTTGTCAAGAGGCACCCAACACCAACAGCCTCTAGCTTGTACACCAAATACCAAACAAATGACTGGGACAAAATTTTCATGATAAAATTCCTTAGGTACCAAATTCCACCAGTGTCAGAGTAGTCAAGTACCAAGATATGACTGTAAAATCCAAAATCTAGACTGAACCATATTTAGTGTGATCTTTATTTCTCCTTTTCAAGCTTGAGGTAATCATAAAATTCTGGTTTTTAACAGAACATACTTATTTTCCTTTCCTCTTGAGGGGAAACAGTTCAAAATAGAATAAACATAAAGTCCCTGTCTTGGTTACTTTTCTCTCGTTGCTGGGACAAAATACCTGACGCCCAAAATTAAGGAAAAAAAGGTTTATTTCACTTACAGTTTGTGGAGGTTTCAGTCCGTACTTGGCAGATTATAAGGCAGAGTGGCACATGGCAGAGAGCTACAGCTCATGGTGTCCGAACACAGCAAAAGCAACAAACACACACCAGGGGAATGGTGGAGGAATGGCCTCAAGCATCCTTTTCCTCTCCCTTACATATGCAAACTATCCACCCCAGGGCGGGTGCAGCTCTCACACCCCTAATCAATCAAATTTTAAAAGCCTGCCGCATGAGGCTTTGGGGGGACACCCAGACATAAACCATAACAGTCCCTTACACAGCAAGCTTGCTGTAGTGTTAATGGCTTGCCTTGCCTGGCCTTGCCCAGCTTTGATCACCTGACCTCGTCCCGCTGTGACACCTACCAGCTCAGTGACACACCTCACCACCTGCTCTGCACCTTCTCCAGCCAGTGCCGCCCTGATTTGGGCAATCCTTGCTTTTGAGCTTTTCTTTTCCATACTAGACTGATCTTCTATTCTTTGTGGACCTCAATACCTGACTATGCTATAGCTTTAGGAGTGTTAATAGAACATAGCCTGGTTGCCTTGATTGGGGTCTGGCTGCTCCTCCAAACCCCCACCCGTGACGGCGAACCTTCTAGAGCTTGCGGTGATACATACGGCCTGCAGTAGCACTCCTGTCTTGGATTTGCCACCACCGCCCCAGGCCATTCATTTCAAAGGACATTAGTGCACTGGATTACTTCTACATACAGGTGAATAACTGTATCCATGTTTAGCTCCTTACAAGGCAGAGTGGCACATGGCAGAGAGCTACAGCTGTGGCCAGGTTCCTTTGCTGAGGGTAACCAATATTCAGGGTCTACTGTCCATGACTCGTCTTTTTTTTTTTTTTTTTTTTTAATTTTAAAGAGTAAAAGAAGGATAACATAGTAATAGGGGGGCTTACCAAGTTACAGACAAAGTGGTAGGAAATTATCAATGGTTATTGTTTTACATATTGTTATCTATAAGATAGTTTCTCAGGAAAACAAATAGACAAATAATAGTGAGTTACAGACAAAAGAGGTAGGAGATTATCAATAGTGCTATACTTTGGTGTCTTCAAAGTGGCTTTTAAAGAAAATAAATAGAGCTATACATGAGTGAGCAATTGGATAATCATGAACTGTTCTCAATGGTTGTTATAGGAAACACATAGTAATAAACATACATCCATTTACAAAATAGCATAGGAACAATACAGACATTACAAAGTTATGGACAGATTAGTAGGAAAATATCAGTAGCTGCTGTAATACATGGTAGTATCTTCAAAGTGGTTTCTCGGGAAGACAGAGATACGCAAGAAGGATCTAACAAGTAGTTACAGCCTAAGGGTTGTGAAAAATAGCGTATTACCTCCTCACCAGTGACTCCTTTCGCTGAGGTGTGACGGCTGGAAGGAAGGCCAGGACTGAAAAGAAGGACCGAGAGACTTGCACCTGTGTCTAGCAACAGGCTGTTTTCTTGTTCCTCCATTGTCATGATTACCCAGGGCTCCTCCATGGAGATGACAGTCTGGCCAGAGGGAGATGGCAGAGCATGCCCTGGGCCCCCTCATTCCTGTTGGACTAACTGGTAGGATGGGTCTGAGCTCTGGGGCATGACTCTTCTTTGAGTAGGACTGAAAAGAAGATCACCAGTATTTATGTTGTTTCTGCGATGTTAGGGATTGAACCAAGAGCTTTCACACTAAGCACACCTGGAATTCCAGTGCTCTGGAGGCTGAGGTGGGAGGGTTACATAAAAGGTTCACTGTCACTGGTAGGGGTTTGGAGGGATAGCCAGACCCCAATGAAACCCTTCCTTAACTTTGGCTTTACTCAGCTTGGTGTTTAATCATTTTCTCTGCATTCTGCTTTATACATTTAGGGTTCACCTGTAATCCCCAAACTGGGAGGCTGAGCCAGGAGCACTGAAAGTTCAAGCCCAGCCTGGGCAGTGTGACTGCTTAGCAAGACTTAGCAAGACCTTGTCTTAAAAAGACTATGAAAAGGTCTGGGGATGCAGCTCAATGCAGAGGTGCTGGGCTGAATCCCCAGTCATGCAGGGAGGAGGGGTGTTAGGGGTTGATGATCATGCTGATACATTTATGAGTTCCCCAAGAGCAACGACTGCCCCCTCCTCCTCCGTTACCACATGCACACACTTCCACACACTGGCCAGCGTCACTGTCCAGTTGCCGCTCACTTGACCTCAAGCTCAGTCAGGTTGTTGGCTCCAGTGAGCAGAACAAAATCCACTTGAGAAGGTTCTGAGTACATTCCCAAAAAGATTCTTTTTCTTTTTTTGAAGCCAGAAGAACTCTTCTTCACTTGATAACTGAGAAGGAACTTTACTAATAAGTTTTTCTGCTTGTCTTTCACAGGCTGCACATTAAATGGCCAAGAGGTAAAATTCACCGTGCATTATGAAAATGGGTTCACTATCTCCAGGGAAAACGGAGGTTCCAGTGCCGTGCTGTTCCGCTACCCCTTTGAAAGGCTGAAAATGTCTGCTGATGATGGCATCAGAAATCTCTATCTGGATTTTGGTGGTCCTGAGGGAGAACTGGTAAGAGTAACTCAGAAAACCATGTTTATACTAATAGCTATTCTCTTTCTTCTCATTGTTTCTTACCAGTTAGAGAGAAGATAAGTATGGCCTGCTATTCCGTTTGGAGCCAGGAAATTATTCTTTAGTTTTCAAGATAGCACTGGATTTAAGTTTTTGCTGCAGTTTTCTTTCCTCCACATTAAGAAACTATTCTCTCTGGCCTGGGATATAGCTCACAAGCATCTGCCTGGCAAGCATAAGGTCCTGAGTTCGATTCCTGGTACAAAAAAAAAAAAGAAAAGAAACCGTTCTCTTTCTTTTTTAAAAAGTTTTTTATGGTAGAAAAAAAATAATTGGTGTTTGTGTTACTGAGGATTAAACTCAGGGCTTCAGGCATGCTAGGCAGGCATTCTATCACTGAGCTATGTCCCTAGCCTCCAGAAAAACCCTTTTAAGAAAGTTTTTTGTTTTTGTGGATTTTTTTTGACTGGGTGTGGTGGCACCTGCCTGTAATCTCAGCACTCAGGAGGCTGAGGCAAGAGTATTGGTGTGAATTCAAGACCAGCCTGGACTACAAAGTGAGTTCAAGGCCAGCCTGAACTGCGTAGTGAAACCTTGTGTCAAAAAGACAGTCAACCAGTAAGTAAACAACTGAAGAAAAGAAAAATTTCAGTCATAGTTTTTCATTTAGACATTAGAGGTCTGTGCTTAGTAAAGGTAAAATTGGCCTCCTGACTAACCTAAAGAGTCATCCTTCTAAACACCAACCAGCAAGGGCGTCAGAAATCATACCGACCATGGTCATGCTTCTGCTAAGACCCCTGTGATTCCTCCTAGAAAACAGAATTACAATTAATGGTCTCCATGCTGAACAGTGGTTTTTTGTTTTTGTTTTTGTTTTGCTCTTTTTGGCAGGGTCTCCCTATGTAGTTCAGGATGACCTTGAACTTTCTGGGTAGCTCAGGCTGGTCTCAAACTCACAGCAATCCTCCTGCTTCAGCATCCTGAGTTCTGGGACTACAGCTGTGTGTCACTGTGCCTGGATCCTCTTTATTTTATTTTATTTTATTTTATTTTATTTTATTTTTTTCCCTCTCTATTTTAAAACTTCTACTTTTTAGTTCTTCCTTCCAGGCGTGGTGGAATCCATTACACCACCAGTTGTCTCCTGAATGATACATTATGACATGGGATAGATCTACTTTATAGTATACTTCTGTTCGTTGCTTTCTGTTCCCAAGAGTTTCTGTAACTCTAGCTTTTTGTTGTTCTTGCTCTGGGGATTGAACTCAGAACTTTACACATGCTAAACATACACTCTACTGGTGAGCTACAGCCCTAATCCTTCCCGTTTTTTAAAAGTGGAACATCTCATGTGAATGTGTTTATTTTGCATCTTTGTGTATTAAAGTCCATGTATATAGTAGCGATAATGAATGTCCTTCTCCACAGACCATGGACCTGCACTCTTGTCCGAAGCCGATTGTATTTGTGTTGCATACGTTCTTGTCAGCAAAAGTCACTCGAATGGGACTGCTGGTTTGAGCAGCAGAAAGTCAGAAAAGAGCCTTGACTGTCACCAGAAGTATTTTCACCTCAAAAAAAAGAAGAAAAAAAAGCACAAAAGAAAGCTCTTTGCTCTCTCTCCTCCAGTACAGTGCCTTCCCACAGACCTGCAAATCACTGCTGAACCGTAACTGGGTTTAAAGAAGAGGCTGCCTTGGCCAGAAATTCTGGGACTTTATTGAGCTCCAAAATGAAGCTGTGGATTTATTGTCTCATTTCCTAATGTGGTTTATAAGTAATTAGGTTTATTCCCCCGTTAGAAATGGTGGCTTTTTGTTTTCTGTTTCTTTGCTTCGGGGCTTTTTTTGGACATAGTCAAATAGCCAGCCAGGAGCTGTTTTCTTTCTCTTATTCCTGTAGGACTTGTGTCAGGCTTGGCCTTGACTTCTTACTTCCGGTGGCTCTCCCTTCCCAGGTGCTACTGTGCAGCAGCCTGTTGCTTCGTGCTCATCCCAGATAGGCTGATGCTTCGTTAGAGTTCACTGTCTTCATCGTCTCCTCCCACCTGGGAAGCCCTTGAGTTGCATCACCAGAAGGTTCCTCCCTCCGTCCCGCCTCTCGCTGCGGCCCGTCTGCCCTTCACCGCTTTGTCCATCCCTAGCTTTGCAGTGCATAAGTGCTAACTGTAGGACTCAGAAACTGCAAAGCTTGATCCACCTTGCTCCTCCTTTTCTGGTGGCGCCCAAGTTGAAATGCAGTTTGGTAAAAGGCGAAAGATTTATACCATCTGAAGAGAAAACATAGTATTGAAATGCAGTTTGGAAATGACTCCATAGCAAGGAAAGTTTTGCTTCTTTTAAACTTTTCTGATTTTAACATTGGTAGGAGCCAGGGTATAAGATTTATTTTAAAAGAAAATCCTCACGTTAAGCTAAGCCATCTTTTATTGCTTACCAAATGTGCCTTTGGTTAGGATTAGTGGAGCTCGAATCAGTCAGTTTGAGTAGCTGAGTGTCACTACCATTCCAGGGATATCATCCTTCCTAGTTTCACGTAGTCTCTGGGTGGGTTTCCGTATGGCATCTTCTTAGTGGCCAGATCCCTTTGAGGAAGGTGAGCCTCAAGAGCCACCCTGTTTAAAGAGCAGGCTTTTTGGGTGAACCCAGCTACTCAGCACAGCACCATATCAAGTTGCTTTGGCTGTGTGAGCCCATGTAGGATTCTGGCCCTGGCCTTCCTCCTTTTTTAGTGGCAGGGTACACTGGACGAGCAGCTGCCAGCTCAAGACTCCGTGTTGGCTTCGTGAGGAGTCCTGCAGCGTGCAGGGGGATGAGCTCACAGCATGGCTACCTTTTTGTTAGCCCTAGCCAGGTGTCATGGACACAGCAGCAGGAAGAATGCTGATTTTGTGATCTTGGAGAGACATACTCACCTTGTTTTTCCTAATTTTAAAGGTGGTATGTATCTTTGAAAACATTTAAAATAGTATTATATCTATATAAAATGTCCAAATTAGCGTGGTCCCTGGATCTGAAAGAAAAGGCAATATTGACTTTGATGTTCTATATGCTGTCTAAAGAGTGGCACAGAAGTAATGCTTGTTTTCTAGAGCTGCCAGGAGTCCCACGGGAAAATGAGCACAGCAGAGGCGGTAGCACTGCAAGTGGGCAGGGGAAACACAACCGCATACACAGACCCTGGGACATTTGGTCGAGCGCAGACCCTGGACAGGTGGAGTGTGAAGGAGCAGGCACCCAAGCAGACAGCGTAGCCGCAGAGTTCTCCCTCTGCCCATCCGCTAGGCCTTCTCCCCCCTGAAGTGAGACGAACGGTATGCAGGGGCTGGGGAGAGACGTCTGTCCTTCCTCCAGCTTCAAATAAGTGTTAAAACTCCAAAAATGAATGAACTGATCCACTTGAAAGTGGAAATTAAAATCTAGACAAGAATATCTTTTCAGGAGCTTTTCATGTTTTGAAAATGAGTAAACCTAGCTGGGCATAGTGGAGCGCGCCTGTAACCCAGCTGCTCGGGGCCTGAGGTGGGAGGATGTCAAGTTTGAGGCCAGCCCACGCAACTTAGTGAGACCCCCATCTCAGAAAAAAATAAACCTGAAACTCAAAAACCTCACATTGGTTCCACCTGAGATACATTTGTAGTTTGAGGGGGAAAAGTGTTCTGAAGGTCCAGCTCTGACTTCTGGAAGCGAAATTTCAACAAATATTAACCTCATAAGAGAATTTAGACTTCTTTTTTTTTTTGTCTTTTTGAGACAGGATCTCGCTATACAGTTCAGACTAACCTTGAGCTCACTTTGTAGCCCAGGCTGGCCTCAGATTTGCAAGGTCCTCCTGCCTCAGCCTCCAGTAGTGCTGGTATTATACGCGTGCACCACCACACCCAGCAACGTTTATTATTAAGATGAGGCGCTGAGTGATGCATTCACGGACTTCAGCAGCATTGACAGTCACTGACATTTTCTGTGTTAAAGGCAAAGCCACTAAGATTTACAGGGGATCTTCAGGGCCACCCTGCTCATTAGGAATAGGATGAAGGTCTGTAAAATGGGTGTAATTAAAATACGGGCAGGACCAAAGCATTTCATGTGTACGTTTCAGCTCATTTTGTTCAAGCTTAAATTGTCCTGTAGCACCAAGGCCCACAGGGTCTGTGATAATATATTTGAGTTTGATGTGAGATGAAAGCATATGGGAGGGTTTTGTCCATCAGCAGCTCCAGACCAAGAGCGCTCAGCTGGTTGTCTTACATACCTTGACAGCTTTCTTTCCTGGGCAGTTCAGGTTGTTTGTCATCAAACGTATTTAAGGGATGTGCAAATCAAGTTAAGTGCTTTTTTGAATGGGACAACTATGATATGTGTATGTTTTGTATTTAGATGCCACAATATGGCTAATTATTTTCAATAATTAAAATGAGCATTTTGATGTTTCACCTCTTTATAGAGCTAGCTAAAATCGTTTCCTTTTCACTTTGAATTAGAAAAATTGTTGAGGATATGATGGGCTCTCCTGTCTAGAATGCAAAGAAATTGCAGTGTAATCCATCATCCCCTCCCTCATTCAGACAGACCACTTCCTGTGCTCCAAGACCTGGGCTTAGGCATCTTTTCTGTATTCCACACAGACATCTGAAAGCAGTCAATTTGTATATGAAGAATCTTCTTTCCCTAAAACTTCCCTCCTTTCTCCCCATAAAAAGAAAAGGAAGGGAATAAAAGAAATGATTCCATTTTTCTCTTTTTGAAAAAGGTAAGGCCTTACCTGAAGTCCTTAAACAAAACTTACCTGGAAATTAGCATCTAATATTTTATGTGAAGAAATACTTAAAAGTATGTTTATACAGTATTTATTAGACAGTTGTAACTTTAAACCTACCTAACTAGGCCAGGCACGGTGGTGCACACCTGTAATCCCAGCACTCGGGAGGCTGAAGCGGGAGGATCACTATGAGTTCAAGGCCAGCCTGGGCTAAGTATTGACTTCAAGGCCAGGCTGAACTACATAGCAAGACCCTGTCTCAGAAAAAAAGAGAGAGAAGAAACCTACCTACCTAGTAGACAGAATTCCAGGTAAAATATTGGGACACACACAGGCAATCAAAAATGTTATTTTAAATGCCATTCTTCTGTTTTAAAGCCATGTTTTAGCACTTTTTACACTGGGAAAAGTCTTATGGTGCCTGTTTTTTAATCATTTGAACTCTCACAAACTTTATTACTGAAAATTTTTGCATGGCAGGAATGATTGAATTATTTTTAAGCTGAAAAATCTAACCAACAAATGTCCTGTGTAACAAATGGCTAATAATAAACCTGAGGTGGGAGGATGTCGAGTTTGAGGCCAGCACAGGTAACTTAAACGTTCTTAGCCGTGTGTTACACTGATTATTTGTTTTCCTAATTTGCAACAAAGGTTTTTTAGCCGATTAAATATGCTTAGCTGAGGAACCAAAATTTATTCTTTAAAAAAAATTAAGCTGTGTGGAATCCGGACAAGATTATATTTCTTCCCAAAAAAGGCTTAGCTATAAATGGTTTTGTAGACAAAAGTGTGTGAAAAGGGTGATTTTTAAAAAAATTTTATGAGAAGTAAAGGACTTCTACTTTAATTTATATGCATGTGGATATATTTGCTGTCCAAACCATGGAAAAAATCTGTCCATGTTTTTAATGCAAACTGCCTTCTAAGCTGCTATGCAAATTTATTACAAAGCCCTACCTGCTTAAAGAGTTAAACTTTTTGAAAACTTTCAGGGAAGACCTATAGACTCGAGCACTTTCTCTGCTTTTTTGTATCTAATCTTGGACTCTTATGTTGAATTATGTTCATTATTTTCACTAGTTATAAGCTATTGATTGTACATAATACTTAAACTGTCCAAATATCCAGCATACATTTCCCTGTGGCCGCCATTCGCTGTGGATGCCATGAATGAAATGGCTGGTTAGAAAGCCAAAGGTCTTTTTTCAATCCCTAATGCAGAGGTAAAATGCCAGATCTCATTGGTTTCAAAGCAAATCTTAATATCTGTGTAATGAAAAGAGGCTTATTTAAAGTTGGGATCTGCAGTTAGCCATACTCATTCTTTTTATATCTCTCTATCAGGTATAATATATGTGCGAGGTGGTATTATAGTCTACTTTAAGTTTGGAAACCTTTCACTTAGCGTGGCTTTTCTTTTTCCAGCTGACGATAAAAGGAGAAAATCTACCCTCTCCCACTCGCTATTTTTTAGTTGCTTAATAATCTAGAATTATTTTGTCTTTACACCAAAAAGCCAGGAGCAGCAGTCTGCCCTCCTCCCATTTGAAGCTCTGTCTTTTACTGTGTTGAGTACAATGAATGTATGATAATAGACAGTTTTAAAGTCATTCTGCTATATGTCAGGATTATGTGTTTTTGAGCAATATAGTTATTCCTAGGCTGTAATGATGTTAAATGGAATTTATTTTATTCTAGTAATACTGGGTAAGTGGCTGATCTGCAACCCTTTCACTTAAAAAAAGAAAAACTAAATACATGTGGTAGATCAGTGATACAGGTTCGTTCTAATAAAGGATGAAACTTCAAGTTAAGGGTAAGGTACAAAAGATGTCAGGGACCTGGGTTTAAGGGTAAGGTACAATAAATAGGCACACAATACATCTGTTTTCTTGTTTCTTTTTGATACTGGCTAAACTGCCAACTAGAAGGAGGGCTGTTACACATTAACTAGAAAGATATTTTAAGAGTGTTTGTTGGTTTGTTTGTTTTGGTGCTAGGTATCCAACCCAGTGCCTCCCACATGTTAAGTGCGTGCTTTTTTACTGAGCTACCCCCCAGCTCTTTATTTACTTCAAAACATAAACTTGAGCTTAATCTCTTGCCACTTTAACTCTTCTTTTCCACTGTGAGTGACTGAACCAAAGCATATCCTAGTTTTAGAAGTGAAGCCCTATTTCATGTAATGTGTAAATGTCTTGCAAATTATTGCTGCTCTCCAGTGATTAGTTCATTATATTCAACCAACTGTAACCTTTGATTGGCCCATTTAAAACAGAGGGGTTCAACTAAGAACCTATAATACGGAAATGATGCGCCCCTGTATCGCCGGGCTGGGGACCCTGGCTGGATTTCCACACTCCGAACCTGCCCATTTCCTTGGTTTGCAGCCGTCTCACCGCCATGCCATTGGTACAACTCTTAAAGTTTGGAGTCCCTCTTTCTCCCAATCACAAACACACCCTTCAACCCTGACTGTTCCGCCCCTTCTCCCAGAGTGACAGAAATCACTTCTGACTCCACAAGGAGTCCTCTGAGCCATTTGCAGAAACTTTGAAACTACAAGGCGAGTTAATGACCTGAATTCATTTATTCTGTTTCTAGTTAGCATTTATTAATATACATTTCTGTACCAGGCACTCAGAAGGATCCAAAGAAATTTCTTACCATCAAGCAGCATATAATCTATTATCCCTTAATCCCACTGTGCCATCTCTTTTAACCATCAGCAGTTAACTAATTAACCACTCTATGTTTTTACCAAAGTGTATCCACGATTCTATTTATCCGCATATGGCAAACCGGAAATTGTTTTGAAAGGATACTCTGACTTGGACCCATGCCAACAAGAAAGGACCCAACTACATTTAAGTAGGTTGATTTTTTTTTTTTTTTTTTTAAAGACAGGATTTCACTATGTAGTTCAGGCTGGCCTGGACTCACTGTGTACCCCAGGCTGGCCTCAAACTTGTGTCAGTCCTCCTGCCTCAGCCTCCCAAGTGCTGGGATTACAGGCAAGTGCCACCACACCCAGCCAAGTAGGTTGGTCTTTTCATTAACTGTAATCTTAAAATGCAAAGTCAGTAGTTTGGGAAAGAGCAGAGTACATAAGATAAATCATAACAAAAATTAACCCTCTGTTGCTGAAAGTAGATCAGTGGGAAAGGCTTTTCAAAAATTCCTTCTTTTCATTGTAACTACAAAGAGAAATGTTTATTTCCTCAACCCTTCTTCCTAAATTTTGCTAACCCATTCATTTCCACACAGACCATTTAAGCATCTCCTTTGCTGAAAGTCTTTGTGTTCATGGTGGAGTGTTTCTGCACTAATGCTCAATCAAATTGAATGTCTTGGGCCGGGGATACAGCTCATTGGCACAGCGACTGCCTGGCAAGTGCAAGTCCTGAGTTCGATTCCTGATACAGAAAAAAAAGCAAATTGACGATCTGTAAAACTCAGCAGAACTCTCCACTTATCCTAGAACATTTGGCATTCAAACTCCACGGAAAGGGCGCGTGAAGAAAAGGAGAGAGTGACCGCGTTGTCCAGTCTTCCGAGAGTACCCTGCCCTCGAGGGTTGCTAGGGTCAGCTTGGCAGGCGGCATCCCCAGTCCCGGCCAGAAAGCGTCCGAGCTGTGCGTGTGGTGGCAGTGGCACAGGGACACAGCTCCTCCTCATTCGCTTTCAGGTGTCCTGGCGAATGCACAAAAGCTGGGTCATGTACTCCACATCTCGGCCTTTACTTTCAGCCTGCCCTTTGACAGGCCGGTGCTAATGATTGCATCTGATCAAACCAGCACGCAAGTCTTGGCCTGTAGGTGTCCATTCTGCCTAGGTTGAAAAGGTCTTCCTTCCATCTCCCTCCTGTGAGAGTGGGTGTCATTTGTATCTTTTCACCGGTTTTGTGAATCAGTAGAATTGGGGGGAGAGAAAATAATCTGAACTAAACCTTAGGTTTTCACAATCACCAGTCTCCATGACCTTCTCACCTGTAGCAAACCTGCCC